TGGTGTAGTGGCTGCAACATCGAACTCATCACCGCATTCCGGAGTGAGAAATTTTGCAACAAAAACAGAATTCAGCTCTTCAGAATTGACAACGTTGTATACTTGATTTAAACCTCTTTAGTCACCTCGGGTTAAATCAAGATAAAACCGAATATAAATGCAATATAATGCACAATCTGAATCGTCTCTCTCACAGAGCTTTTTTATTTGAAAATCTAAGCTAAACTAAGTACCACAAACATTGACAGGGTTTTAAAATTGATTTTCTTTAATAAAACTACTTTGTAAACAATGCAAATTAGATAAATCCTAATTACTATTTTTTGGAGCTTTTTAATAAAATGATAAATGAAAATATTAATTTGGATTTTAAGGAATTTAATGATCAGATGTTCTTTGGAAATGAACCAATGACTATCCTAGCTCGATTAATGATGTGGGAGTAAATCAATTGATAAGGACCGGTTTAAAGAAGTTATTCCTTTTAAATTGATGCTTAACTACAACACTAATTATTTGTTAAATTCACTTCAAGTATAATCTCTACACAATTAGCATAAAAATCATACTAACAATAAATCAACAAAGGCATCAGCATATAATTAAATATATATTTATAAACCGAAGTACTCAAACTTAAAATTAACAATCCAAATCTCAACAATTCCAATCCAAACCAAGAATTACAACTAGCAATTCCAAGTTTTAAACTACACATGACAGATTTCAAACCAAAAATCATCAATTAAATAGTCTAAACTAAGGATTAGAATTAAACTTCTTTTTGTAGCTCCCAAACTCAAGTCATTGGGTTCAGTCCAAAGAGCACTGGAAAAAGGATCAGTCACTCATGGTCTTGAACACAACCGTAACGAGCTCCAAGGATACCGCGGCCATTGAAGAATTCTGCAGAATGAAGTCGCGGCCCCTCTGGTTCTGATTCGGCTGAGAAAAGACTGTGATGCTGGCAGATGATAAAAGAGGACACAGGTGAGGTGAATGAACAGCGATGGTCGCGTTATGATGAAGATTGTGGAGAGGTCGATGGTTCAGGGGGGTGAATGTGTGGCGGCGTCAAGGTTGATGATGGAAGAAAAGTCTTCGGAGGTCCAATTCCCAGGTCTGCGTGGCGGCGTCCTCATATTGATGATGGAAGAAGAGTCTTTAGAGGTCCCAATAGAAGGCTTGTGTGGCGGCGTCCCTCCCTCTCCTTCTGCACGATGGCATCCCTTTTTTCTAACCCAATCAAATGACCTCCAAATTGCCATCTCCAAAACGGTGTGCACCGGTCCTTTATTCATTGATTTATCTTTTTTTCCCCCGTCTGTTCAGCTTCTAATTTCAATTTGTCCCCATTAATCTGAAAAATAATTTAACAATATGTAATATCATGGAGCCCCAAAATAATTATTTAAGAACAAATATAAAGATATGACAAAATTATCCTTTTTTTTTTGCTCTATTTTAATAAAATCATTCTTTAAATGAAATTAATCATAACAAATGGAAATTAACTTATTTTAGTTGATAAAAGCCCCCCAAAAGATATAAAACAATAAGATAAAATAGAGGTTTATCAATACTCTTGCACATGTACTCCGATCCCGTCCAGCCAAGATTGCGAAAAATGTCTAGGGGTTGCTCTGCAAAATATCACGTCATGTTGTCTCGGAATGAAAGGAGGACAAGTCATTAATCCTAGCTGCAACTTGAGGTTTGAATCGTACCGATTTTATAATGACAGCAAAAGTATTGCTTCGGTTCCACCTGCGTATCCCCCAAATAATAGTGGTGTTTTGGAGCCACTTACCTATCCCCAAACTCCCAAAGTTTCAGGGAATACAGGTAATTAATTGAGGATCAAATCATTTGTGTCACGGAGATACGTGCCTTCATATAATTTGATATTCTTAATTCCCTCTCAATTTTGTGCTTACAAATCTTCTTCATTTCTTGTCTATGGCATGCAAATACACACTCATTTACTTTACGGGGGAAAAGATGACGACCACTCACAAACAATCATAATAGCGCTGTCCGTCACTACTGCGGTCTCAATCATGCTTTTTTGTTTCAGCTTCTATTATTGGAAGATTAAGAAGAGCAAGACTTATAAGACATTCTGAAGAAAAATTGTACGTGTGCTGTTGTTTTTCCTTTTTAAAAAACAAAAACAACTCGGTCAACTGTGAGAAAAATCATATTATTGTATTGTACTTACCTTGAAATGTACTTATGTTTATAGTTGAAAGTGAAGGAACCATATTAGAGTCATTGCAGTTCAATTTGGCAACAATTGAAGCTGCAACAGATAAGTTCTCGATTGAAAATAGAATAGGCAAAGGCGGATTTGGAGAGGTCTACATGGTAACTTGATTATGCGTTCAAACATATGGGTGTGTTTATATATTATGTTGCATGTATATCCCAACCCCTCATTATCTAGCTATATTATGATTTCAGGGCATTCTTCCCGACAGTAGCAAAATAGCAGTAAAGAGATTGTCAGAAAATTCTGGTCAGGGATTATTAGAATTCAAGAATGAGGTTATACTAATTGCCAGACTTCAAAACAGAAACTTGGTGGCATTATTAGGATTTTGCTTAAAAGATCAAGAGAAAATACTTATTTATGAATACGTTCCCAACAAGAGCCTCGATTACTTTTTATTTGGTCTGTCCCTTCTGACCAAGCTCATATTACCCTTTTTTAATTTTTTTTATTCATGTACGTGCTATCCATTTTTTTTCCCATTCATGTACATGCTATCCATTTTTTTTCCCCATTCATGTACATGCTATCCATTCTTTTCAATTTTTTTTATTCATGTGCGTGCTATCCATTCTTTTATTGCACTTTGAGGTGAACATATTTTTGTTGGTATAGTCACTAATTTGTTTTTAATTTAGACATAAATGTATATGACGTATCTGTCATTCATTTGCATACTCACAAAGTTATTTAATTATGCATTCAAGTTCACAAAAGTCAAGAGTGTTAAATTGGTTAGAGCGTTATAAAATTATAGAAGGAATTGCTCGAAGAATTCTTTATCTCCATGAACATTCACGTCTAAAAGTAATATATTGAGATCTCAAACCTAGTAATATTTTGCTAGATGATGAAATGAATCCAAAAATATTGCCATGGCAAGAATGATTGGCATTAATGAAACTAGAGGAAACACAGATAGAATTGTTGTAACATTGTGAGTTTTTTCTCTCCCTTTCTCTCCCTTTCTAACTATCTCCCTACTTGTGCGCATGTGTGTATGTGTTTATTTGTATATTGCGTATGCACTTTACTACTGAATTTAAATATTGGTACAACATATAGCTCAAATTATCTGGCTCTAGGATTCCAACAAATATATTGACACATTTATATGTGATTTTATATATCTATTGTAGGAGCTGCATGTCTCCAGAATATATTAAGTTTGGACTATTTTTTGAGAAATTAGATGTTTCCAGCTTTGGAGTCATTGTTTTAGAAATTATAAGTGGAAAGAATATACATTCTCAATGTGAATCTCATGAATCTCAATATATTGACAGACTCTTAAGTGATGTAAGTATAGCAAACTTTTAATATTTCTCAAAGGATCATCTCAAACCTGTCATCATTGTCATTGTCATTATCATAAGCATCAACTAGCCATTGGAGCTTATGTTAACAATATTCTATAATCAAATCAGTCGCAGAGCCCTGTTTTAAATGAATTATTTGCAAAATGACAGGCTTGGAAGCATTGGAGGGATGAAAGATTGATAGAGATATTGGATTCGAATTTGACAGAAGCTGGGTCACATGGTGAAATAATCAAATGCATCCATATCGGCTTGTTGTGTGTCCAGGGAAATCCAGGAGCAAAGCCTTCCATGAATAAAGTTGTTCAATATCTGAGTAATGATTCAATGCCATTGCCAATTCCTCAAGAACCAGCATTCTTCATCCACAGTCAAATGGAACCCGCAGCAACCAGTAGAGCAATGGAGGCTCTACTTGGCAACCACAATCAGTATTCCATTAATGAAATGTTGGAGGGTATAATATCTCCTCGCTGGATATATCGTAGGGGACTCCAACTTTTGTTTTTCTTTTCTCATTGCATAAGCATGGTTTTATTTTTGAAATATGTGTGTAGTAAGAATTTGTTTATTTCAGATTCAATTTTTGTTTTTTTTGCCCTTTTTTTCTTCATCTGCCGTCCATTAAGACGCTCTATCTTTGTATCTCTGCAATACTTCAACCTTATATATACCAAACAGAGCATTGGTGTTTAAGAAAAAGAAGAAATGAAATCCTTGTCCTAGTGAGAATAAAATTCACTCAATGACACCTCATTCCAGAACATGATTCTTCTTCCAAATCAATTGGTAAGCTCCATATTTTGCAATGCCCCAAAGAGGCATGCTTCTCTGGAAGTGGCAACTGAATTGAATCATTGCTGAGATATACATAAAACAATTGCAGCCGTGCACAAAGGCTTTGCATTTGGATTTCATATTGAATAAAAAACAACCCTGGGCGAATGGATGCACTTAATCACTTCATTATATGATCTGAATTCATAAATTATCCTTGAACCCAACTTCTCTAACAATTTTTCATCCCTCTGTCGATTACAAGCCTGTAACAATTAAGTAAAACTCACTGTTATAATCATCTCCCTTCCATTATTAATTAGCTTATATAACATGGTTCAAAATTAAAATAATCTTCTGCGTGCATCTGAGGCAGGATTCCCTTAAATATAAGGAGCAAGGGTTAAATTAGCTGCAGCGAGAAAATACAGATCTCCTTCGTTTGGTGGCTGTGGCGGAACTGAGATGTTATAAGAAACATCATACGTCATCTTAATATAACAGAAATGGAAAATATAGTATTGCATAATACTAATATCATGATTACTATATATGTTGACTCTCCTCATTTTGGTGCATTAACATAAAAATACTTCTTCTCTAATTGACACAAGATGCAATAAAAGCCTTGTACTACCGAGGATAGAATTCACTTATAGACATTTCATTAATTGATTCTTTACTGTCGGTATTAAGCTCCATTTGGCCCTCCAGAAAGAATGCAGGTTCTTGTGGAAATGGCAATTGAATTGAATCATTGCTAAGATATGAAACAACTGTAGCCATAGAAGGCCTTGCTTCCGGATTTTCTTGAACACATAACAACCCGATTTGGATGCACTTGTCCACTTCATTCAACGATTCAGGTTCATTTAGACTTGAATCCAATACATCTAATATCTTTTCTTCCTTCCATTGATTCCAAGCCTGCACCAATTTAGTAAGCTTAGCTATTTTAATCACTGCCTTTTAATTATTAATCTCTCAAATTTAAGACAATTACCCATGAAATACTAGTGAGATAAACACATTATCATAATTAATTAACTTACATAGTTTAGGAGGCCATGAGATTGATCTTGAGAGCTTGTGATCTTCCTTCCACTGATCATTTCTAATACTATTACTCCAAAGCTAAAAACATCTGATTTTTCAGAATATTGTCCAAACATTGCATATTCCGGAGACATATAACCACTAAAAAAAACAAAATATCAATCATAGACTTTTTTCCAGTAGATAGTAAGCAGCATACGTGGACATTTCAAGCGCTACACTTGTTAATTTTTTTTTTTAAAGGAAGCTGTAGTGCTTTTTTTTTAATGTTTCCTAAATAATACTGATTTGAAAAAAATAAGTGCTACAGTTGTAATATATGTAGTAGTAGAACTTTTATGTCAACTTAGGCCAACTTTTCTTTATGCAACCGTATCATGATAGCTGTAAAAAGTTTGAAGGAGAGATTCAGAACTTACTAGGTTCCAACAATGTTACTCGTACTTTCCTCAATTTCATGGATTCCAACCATCTTGGCCATGCCAAAATCTGAAATTTTTGGGTTCATTTCATTATCTAACAAAATATTGCTTGTCTTGAGATCACGATGTATAATCTTAACTCGAGCATAATCATGAAGGTAAAGAATTCCTCGAGCAACTCCTCCTATAATTTTACATCGTTCCTCCCAATTTAGTACTTTGATTTTTTGAGAACCTATACAAAAAGTTATCATTAATGACTAAACTCACAAATCAAATAAAGATAGCTGAAAATAAGTAATTGACTTGAGCATATTCATAAGATAGAGAAAGTTAAATAATTATTAACACGCATGTATATCAATTTCAATCAAGAATTAAAATGAGTTTAGAAGTGTCTAACCAAATAGAAAATAATCAAGACTTTTGTTGGGAACATATTCATAAATGAGAATTTTCTCTTGCCCTTCTATGCAAAATCCTAGCAAGGCCACCAAATTTCTATGCTGGAGTCTGGCTATTAATAAAACCTCGTTCTTAAATTCTTCTACTCCCTGGCCAGAACTTTTTGAAAGTCTTTTTACAGCTATTTCTTGACCATTTGAAAGAATGCCCTGAAATCATGGTTAAATTAAATAGTAAAAACGGTACATATATTGAATTATATATTACAGTATTTCCATTGGCACTGCCTGCTTTCTCACCTTGTAAACTTGTCCAAATCCACCCTGACCTAAACAATTTTCCTGTGAAAACTTATTTGTCGCGGCTTCAATCGTAGCCAAACTGAATTGCAGAGGCTCTAAAGTGTTGCTTTCGCTTCCAACTAGACAAATAAACCTAAATATTAAAGTATACTAGAGGTGTCACCACTCCTGTGGAGAGATAGGATGAAAATTACTTACAGTATTTTTGCATGAGAAAAGCCATGCGTATCTTCTTTATTTGATTCTTCGACAAATAGAAGGAGAAACATAGAAGTATCACGGCACCAACAGAAGCCACAGCTATCACAATAGTCCTTAATCTCCTTTTCCTTCTTACTGTATGAACACCAGATACTTCCACGTCTTAATGTCACTCATTATCACCTTCTCTCTAAATTACTTTTTTTGTCATAAATATAAGACTCATTTTATAGTATAATTTGCCTTATAAAATGGGTTTTATATTTAGGACTAGAGGGAGTATTAATCAGCACATTGAATCTTGAGCTAAAAGCCATAAGAGACTATATATCAACCTCCAAGCAAGTCAACTTTTGAGATTGTCAAGAAAATCTAATATGAAAGCGATTTTAAAAAATAATTCAGGGAAGCATGTTAGATTCTCTTCACACATGACTCCAAATTGACTTGAAGGGAGCGACTTTACAGATTCTCTTACACATGATTCCAAATTGATTTAAAGGACTTCCTTAAAGATCTCGATGCATCCTTGCTATGAGGTGAAAAAATACAAGTTAGTTAATTTAATAGAAGAGAACATTATCATTTAGTTAATTTAATAGAAGAGAACATTATCATTTTCAGATATAAAAAGCTTCATATATATGCCCCACCTATAAAGTTTCATCTTCCTCCCTTGATATTTTAAAATCTCAAATACATATTTTCCAGAATATGTGTTGTGCTCTGATTTTTGTTTTTTGTTTTCTTTTTTTTTGGTTGGGGTGGTAATGTATTATGCTCTTATATTGGTAGTTCAAAAAATAAAATATTATTAAAAAATATTTAAACTTCTCGAATAAGTTTCGGGTCTTTATTATTGTATGAACAAAATAATAATATACTATTTAATTTCTAACTCGTACTTCCTTCAAAAATTGAAATTATTTCTTTTACGTGTTTGACCACATATGTCCTCAATCTATATATACATATCTTTCATATACAAAAAAAATCGATGAGAAACTAAACTATGAAATGGTCATGAGCATGAGACTTTAATTAACCTGGCTAGCTAGTTCACACAAAACCAGAATTTTACAGTTAAATGGGAGTATATGCCAAAATCAGCATCCATAATATTTTCATCAATAGATTTACTCTAATTTACATAGAAAACAGAAATCAGAAAAGCACATCATTAAGCTTACCATCTGAAGGAGTTGGAGGAGTTAATGGAGCCGGAGGAGGAGGCGGAGGCGGAGGGGGCAGCCTTACTGGCCGGAGAGGCGTAGAAGAATTAAAGAACATATACAGCTCATAGCGAGCGAAGCAACTTGGATATGCCACTCTTCCTCCGATCTTGCCCTCACAACACCATGGAAGGTTCCCGATCACACCACGCAGACAGGTTCTGCAATCTCCCGGCGAAAGGTCCGGCGTGCACTGAACCATCACATACAGAGTTTGAATATCTACCACCACCGCTTTCGTCGCCGACTTCTTTTTCATCAAAGCAGGCTTCGCCGCTTCATCTGCCGTCAGGTTCATAACAGTCATCAATACGTTCATGAATCCTGCCTGGTTCGAGACATTGTTAGTGTTCAACATTTTCAGTTTAGGCTTTCTATCGACGGTGGAGAAGAAGTTGTGCTGAGAATAGCGAACCAAGCACGGGTCAAGCCAGTTTACGGCCGCCTTCGAAAATCTGCAATAGTAAGCTAACTCTGCCGTTGAGTCAACGACGCACTGGTGGCATGCGTCTTGGTTGACGTCACCCCGGCACATGAAGAGGCCGTATATGGTCTCGCCACCGCCGTCAACGGTGGTGTTGTAGAAGTCGAGGTGGGCGGTTTCGTTGGAAGTTAAGGAAGAAAAGAGGGTGTTGAGGTTAAAGTCGAAGGTGCTATTGGCGGTGAAATTGTGGTGGGTGGAGCATTGAGGGTGAAGAGAATTACGACCTATGACTTGAGCAGAAGAAGAATGGAGGAAGCCGATGAAGAAGAGTAACAAAATTATGATGTTGAAAGGCATATTGTTAAGGTGTGTTGGTGGTATTATTTTAGACGAGGCGAATGCTTTATAGTTTTGAAGAGTTTGATTTATGACTGAGTGAATTTCAATGACAAGTGAAGGGGGGAATTCAATTTAGGTGATCCTAATCCAAGTGATGGACATGAAATCTGTACCGTTCCCATTAAAATTAAATAGGCCACATATTAAGATCATTTATTTTATATTCTTAACAGTTTAAAATTTTAATGTGTATAAGATTTAAAATAAAAATTATCTCTTAATTGTTAAAACCACTATTTCGGGAAAAAAGATAATGATAAATTTAAACTTGCTTGGATCAATTAAATTTCTCTCATAAAATTTAGCCAAGGCTTATCATGCGGAGACCGTACTATGAAGGACTATCAATGGAGATAGTAGGAAGGAAGGCTACCTAAAGTCGCGCCACGAGATTGAGACTACGACTACGACAATCGTGTAAAACTGATAATTATATAGTTGAACTTTATATTCAACTATATAGCATTTAACTTATTTAAACCCTGAATATTTTCAGATCTTAATCATTATTAGTAATATTTTTCAAAATGCAATTTACAAAGCCCCTGCTCACATTCAAATGAATTATGAACTCCGATGTGCTCAGAGGTACTATATTTATAATTGTTTTTGTTGATTTTCCATAAATAATTATTTAATATCCGCTCATAATATTGAAATAGTCTTATTAATATGTGTTCATTTTGATCTGGCAAGTTTTTCAAACATAGAACAATAATTTCCCAACCAACTTCATTAATCAAAGCGCGCATAGAGCGCAGTTGACCTCAAAAATCTTTTGAGAATGCTCCAAAGCCAGTCCAGCTTGACCCGCAAGTGATCAAATAAATCAAATAATACAGTTTGGAATTTCAGTCCGTCCTCAATTTTTTTCATTTTGAGAAATTAAATAATATTGTTGTTTTCAATCACAGATAATGAGCAATAATTAATGGCGCATGCCAAGGTGTCATCCAAGAAGAACGCAAAGATTTCTTGTGATCATATTAGACAAGGTAATAGGTATGTCTTCCCCTTTGTGACAGCAAAGATGAACCGTGCTATTCATAATTTCGCATAAAAAGTAAAGTTTTTTTTATATAACGATATTTGATATTGATTTAATGCTATCTAGTTTAGTTAAATATATGGAAATCACCCATTATCAATAAACATTTTCCATTAAATTAATTACATTGCGGCATTTAATAGAAATATACATACACACAGCACAGTTATCCTTTTCTTCGCCAACTTACACATTGATTAAACAGCTATATCTTTCTCTCCTCTTATTTATAAATCACTTCCAACATATTTCACATAGACTAAGAAAAACCTTAAATTTCATTGATTCTCATTTAAAATTCAATAATTTTTTAACTTGATCCACATTTAATATACATTATGTATCATGTATTAAACAAAGTCAACATAATAATAAATGAAGAGTAAAATTAATATTGTATATCCATATAAAAATTTTTCTCAACACCATATAAATAGAACCCAAAAAATGGTTTTTTCTCTCTACTCTATAAATATAACTAGAAGAGTATTGGTTATAAACTTAATAAGAGTAACTGTACGTGATATTATAAAGTAAATTTTATTTGAAAGATTATTATAAGTTAAAATCTAATCAAAGATATTTATTCTAAGTCAAATAATTTCGGACGCATCAGATAAACATTCCAAAAATAAAAAACCAATGACTCAGTCATAATTTTACTTAAGATGATCAAACACGTCTTGAAGATGGATTCAACGTTGGTGTTTGTACTGTCCCTCGACCCAGCAGCGTGTGCGATCGACTAAAATATATTGGCCAATATGAAAACGGATTATAATAGGCTTAGTCGAAAAGTTTTGAATTATTTTTATTGAAGATGTTGCCTTCATGATCGAAGGGAAAAAGGACGTCAATTACGAACAATTATTGTGACTGTGGTCCTACAAAATATATGGTACCTCCTCGGTGTCCCGGAGACTAGAACGCGTACGTGTTGGATCTATCGAGCCAGTTAGTCACGCATCAAATTATGATGAAGGGGAGCCTAGGCTCCACATAAAGGGAAAATGAATAGTTAAAGATATATCTAGAAAATTTATATATCAGTCTCTATCATGGGATCCATTGATGTTCTAGGCCTTGCTTTCTTCGTGCTTGTCCCTGTTGATGCTAGCACTTACAGAAGGGGAGCAGCGTTAACAATGGTTTGCAGGGAGAAAGTATCTCAATCATTTGGGTGGCTTGGACGAGTGATCTTGGGATTTGGTTTAGAAGAAAAGCTCCCGACAATATATTGAATTAGCTTTAAGCCAATACGTTAGAATTTGTTATGCATCCCATGTTAACAAGTCTTGCAAATATAGTGTGGCTTATAATTTAACGGACTCCCTGCTAATTAACTTTCAACATCAGCTACCAAGATTAACTGACGTACAAATTAAAGTTGGGTCTGAGGGAGAAGAGAGATGAAATATGGCTTATATAGTCCGTGATGAGCAAAATTGTCAATTGATAACATAACCGATGATACAAATAAAATAGTAAGAAAATCTTACGTTCATGGAACCATCTCAATTCTGAGTATATCTAAAGAACCAACTTCTCCAGAAAACCCACAAAGCAATGGGGTTCTACTCCCACTTCCGTTTCTCTTCCCCTCCAATTGAGTGTTACCAAACGAGGCATAAACGTCCTCTGCCTGGTTGACTGATGATGACGAATGCTGACGCAAGTCGACGCTTTGCTTTCTAAATTTTCCAATGAATGGGAAGGCCCCATTAATTGAGAATGACTCTACTTCTAATTACCGATGGAGAGATGGCAGAGACTAAAAGCGTGTTCGTTGGGGTAAAATAAAAAATTAAGATGTATTCATTATTCCGAAGTATTTTTTAAAGTGTATTCAGTACTCTATTTTATGATGTATCCAAAATCTTAAAGTATTTTTTTAAGTATATTCAGTATTTTAAATATTTTTTAGTTCATCTAACACCCTAAATATTATTTAAGTGCGTTAATATTCTAAAGTCTTTTTTAAAATGTGTCCAGCATCAAAGCAAAAAAAATTCAAAATACTGGACATGTTTAAAAAAAATTAAAATGCTAGATTTAGCTTAACCAAAAATAAAAAAGGCTTCCTGAATACGCTCCCAATGGAATCGTGACGGTGATGAAATGACTTGCCGGCCAATGAATTTGAAATGAGCAAATCATCATCAAGCTAGGCTTTGCTTCTGCGTTGCGTGAAAGTTGGGTTGGGCTTCTAATGCCTCGTCTCATTCATGAAGCTCTCGCCCAAGTCCATTACCAGCCGGGGCCAAGCATGCGAGAAGGCGAAGAAGACGAGGGCCAGATGGATGAAGAGAAGAGATGGGCATATTCGTCATCATCGGTGAAAATTTTACCACTCCGATCCAAATTCTTCAAGGGAAGAGGAGTGAAAATTTCAATCTAAATAAGGATAAATCACTCATGCGCACTCCAATACTTCTCATGATATTCTATCTAATGATTTTAAAAATATTTTAATTACCATCTTCCAGATGAAATAAAACACATTATGATATATTATAGTTAAAAAATGGTACAATTTGCACCTTTTATGATTTTTTTAAGAAAATAAATTAAAATATGCAAAAAAAAATATCTTTTAAAGATCATGAAAGTATAAATACAGTCGAATCGTTTTATTATAATAGCAGGATACGAAAATGTTTCTTATTTTATTTGGAATTTAAAAGATAATAATAAAGAATAATAATCATCCAGAGTCCTAATTTTTTCGCAAACTAATTTATTTCACTTATAATAATTTAGTATTTTATATGGATATTTTAGAAAAATAAATTTACATTTGTTATCATTAAGTAATTTCTTTAATTTATCTGAATTGAATTAGTTGAATCATTCTTGTATTAAGAGCTGTTGGGTGGAAACCAAACCATGATTTTAAAAAATAATTTTATGACATATGAAATGAATATATGAGAAAATTTTCATCTCGACTTATTTAAAAATATTTTTTTAATTTATTTTGAGATCTCCCAAATATCCCCTAAATACCAAAAAAATAATAATTAAGATATCTGAGCGCTAGATAGGAGTGTGGAAAGTGGGGTTGGAGCGTTAGAGGCCCAACCGGTGGAAGCTTAGGTTCACTTGATTGACTAGAACCCCTGCAGAAGCATTGGACAGGAAGATGGATATGCCATTTCTGAAACTGCTATTCTATTATCTCCTTCTCACCTCCTTCGACTTCACTTCTCCTGACGGAGACATCCCTACCTACTATGACCACAACTGCACCATTAATAAAAGCTTCACCTCCATTAGCCCCTTACCAGTTCAACCTTAACACTCTTTTCCGATAGCTCTTTCTTATACATTCTCATTGTGAATCTCATGAATCTCAATATGCTAATGGAATCTTAAGTAATATGAGTATAGTAAACTCCTAATATTTCTCAAAAACATAATACTACTATATATAGTTTTTTTTTAACCAAACAGTTGATTTCTTGTTTATTTATTAATTATTCTCTTCCAAATATATTAAGTATTGAAAATAGTTGGACCTATATACTTCTTGTTTGGAGACCTTTTTTTTTTTTTTTTAGGGGATAGTTACATGCAGCGGAACCCATCCTTCAGGATTGAACTTACAACTTCTCTCTCTTTAGAGGTTGGATGATGTTATTGTTATACTATGCTGTTGGTTAATTGGAAAGTTCTCGAATTAAATTAACAATTGAAATATCAACTGTGTGGAGCCGGTAAAGATGAACACCCAAAGCTCATGCAGTCCAAACCTGACAATCTAGATTAAATTTATTTTTTATTTTTAAATTTTTAGAATAATTATTTTAATGGTTATAGGAATTAAAATAAGAATAATTTCTTATCTATATCATTTTTTAAACAAAATTATTTTTATTATTTTTACGCACACGCAGGCTTTAAGTTTTTG